GTCATCTCGGGCGGCCGACCGTCCTCGCAAGACTGGTCGACAAGTCCCGGATTTTCTGCAGGAGCTTCGTTAACTTCCGTTACTTTTCCTGGTGAAGGAGAACAGAGCTCACTAGCAGCTTTCGCATTTTCCAAAGCACCAGACTCATCTTGTTGGTTAATTTTGTCCCAATGTCAGGCAAACTGCAGCAAACAACGTCTCCCAAGCTTCCTGTGAAATCGCTGATTCTCGCCGTTTCAGAACCACTTTTGGTCGTTACCCGTTTGTGCTTCTCTGTGGATTTACGCCGAGCGCAGAGCAGGTTCTGCCTGCAGCGCCACCTTTGCAGGGGCCCCTGGTTTTCACACCCACCTGTGCTGTAAGTTGGGAGGTGCTTCTTTGTGTTACTTTGTTTGTCATATTAATATTTGGGGGGGCGGGGCACGGAACTCTGCTCCTGCTCAAGTCCGCCCCTGCCGTGCGACGTCAGAGGCTGCGCAGCGTCTGGGGACTGGAGTTCCCAGACTGGCCCAGTCGAGGTCACCGGAGTGCTTCCCAGGACTAGCAGCCGATCACCGATTCTCCAGACACCAACGGGGTGTTCAACAACTCAGCTCAACTCAGTTCTGCCAGTGACCACCTGGAGTCAGCGTCGGGTCTCACGGAATGCGGGGCTCGTTCCAGAGGCCTGCCCCACTTCAGAGCCAGTTGCAAGTCCTGGACACCCACACTCCCGACCGACCCCCTGAGACTCAGGGGTTGCCTTGACCCTCTCCTCAAGCTCAGCAACTTGCTACAATGGCTCCCAGAGCCGGGAAGTCGCTGTGCGTGAGCCAGTTTAGTATAAAGGATGCGACAAAGGGTAGCAACTCAGGAATAGCCAGACGGAAGAGCGGCATGAGGCAAGGCGTGGGCGCTGCCATGCCTCCTCGGAGTGTGCTCTTCCCAGCACCTCGCGTGCCCGCCACCTGCGAGCACATCGAACCTGCTGTTCGTGAGATTTTGCAGAGTTTCATCTCCAGCCTCCCAGCTTCCTCTTGGAGGCTGGCGGGCAGGGTCTTTCCGGTTAGAGCCCACCTTGAGCTATGGAGGAGCTCCACCCTGAGTCACCGCATTAGCACAAACTCAGGTGTGACCAATAGGGGCTTATGATGAAGAACAAAAGGCGTTCCTTGCATTCATGTGTTTACCACAGCACAATTCACAATCGCAAAGATATGGAATCAGCCTAAGTGTCCAGACTGATGAGTGGATAAAGAAAATGTGGTGTACATACCGTGGAGTGCTACTCAGCCGTAAGAAAGGATGAAATAATGTCCTTTGCAGCAACTTGGGTGGAACTGGAGGCCATTATCCTAAGTGAAGTCGCTCAGGAACAGAAAAATAAAGGCCACATGTTCTTGTTTGTAAGTGGGAGCTAAACTGTGGCTACACCAGGTGACACAGAGTGACATAATGAACATCGGAGACTCAGAGGAGGGGAGGGTGGGGGGAGGTGAAGGATGAGAAACGACCTGTGGGGTGTAACGTGCACTGCTCAGGGCTTGGCACGCCAGGAGCCCACACTCCGCCGCTATACAATGCACACATGCAATAGAATTCAACTTGTACCCCCTAAACCTATTAAAATCATAATAAAAAAGAAGACACTCCTATCACTCAGGAAATTCCAAGGGTTTTAGGAGTTCTATGCTAGGAACCAGGGACAAAGACCAAATATATTCCCATTACGCCACAATCGCTAAGCAAGTATACTAGTAAACAAGCAAACAAAAACAGTGGGCCCCAGGGTGGAGAATTGGTACATACCCGGTTGCTACAATATTCAGGTATACAGCAGAGATATTGCAGGTTGGGTTTCAGACCACCACAAAAAAAAGAATATCACAATAAAATGAGTCGCACAAATGTTTTGGTTTCCCAGTGCATGTGAAAGTTATGTTGGCCAGGTGTGGTGGCTCAGGCTTGTGATCCCAGCACTCTGGGAGGCCGAGGCGGGAGGATCTCTTGAGCACAGGCGTTTGAGGTTGCTGTGAGCTATGATGATGCCATGGCACTCTAGCCCAGGCGACAGAGTGAGATTCTGTTCCAAAAGCAAACGAATACAAATTTTAAATTGAGACTGTGTTGCTAGCAGACCTGATTTAGAAGAAATACCAAAGAAAGTTCTTCAAGTTGAAAACAAATGACACCAGGCAGTAATCTGTATCCACATGGAAGAACAAAGAGCATCAACAAAGATAATTACGGATGTAATTACCAAAGAGTATAATTCTTCTTACGGATGAAGAAGACAATTGTATAAAACAATATGTATATGATCGTATTGTTTTATTTATAACACACAGAACTGTAATATACTTGTCAATAATTGCATTGAAGAGGTAGCCGGGAGCAAACCTGTGCGAGAGCCAGGAATTACCAAACGACCGATCATTGGAACCTTATTAAAAATGTGGAGACTAGAGCTGCCTTGTCTTATTCCTGACTCTATGGGACATACGAAAACACTTAGCAAAAAACATAACTTTGGAGTCCGAAAATTAGGGGGAGTCCTTGCTTTGAGCAACTTTTACCAGCTTAAACTTAGATACGCTGCTGGCCTGAGTCTCAGTTTCTTAACTTAGCAAACGCAGTTAGCGGGGTAAGATCCAAGCTAAGTTCCATGTCCTGTTTGTCCTTCCGAAGGGCCCAGAACCTCGCGATGCACCGACAGAGAGTGGCTTCACGTGTGCAAGAGGGTTCCTGTTTCTGCCCCGGGCAGCCCGCGGGTCAGACCCTTCCCAGTCAGCTCCAAAGCATCCCGCCCGCCCGCACCACCTGAAGGTCATCCAGTCCTCGGCCTCACGTCCCTCCAGGCAGAAACGATCCTGCCTTGAACCGCTGGCCTCTCATCGGCACATCTTTAATTGCACTTGTTACAGTCTCCCTGGAACAGCGATTTGGCTTCGCGGACTGTCCTCTCTCTCAGACGGGTTTGCGAAGGGAGGGAGGCTCCTGGCTCAGTGGACACCAAGCACAGGTGAACGAAGGCGCGCGCTCGGTCAGCACCAGCTGCAGGTGTGCTGCAGTAACCATTTCTCTCTCCTGCCCATAAAGCAGTATTTTGCTTAGGAAATGTTGGCTACAACACACTCTGTTTTTTTTTTTTTTTTTTCCCGAGACAGAGTCTCACCGTGTTGCCCCGGCTAGAGTGCCGTGGCGTCAGCCTAGCTCACAGCAACCTCAAACTCCTGGGCTCAAACGATCCTCCTGCCTCAGCCTCCCAGGTAGCTGGGACTACAGGCATGCACCACCATGCCCGGCTAATTTTTTCTGTATATATTTTTAGTTGTCCAATTAATTTCTTTGTATTTTTGTTTTTTTAGTAGAGACGGGGCTTGCTCAGGCTGGTTTCGAACTCCTGAGCTCAAACAATCCGCCCGCCTCGGCCTCCCAGAGAGCTAGGATTACAGGCGTGAGCCACCGCGCCCGGCCAACACACTCTGGTCTTACCGAGAGTCCTTGCGAGTCCCAGGCTTGTCCTGTCATCCGCACAGAGGAGGGAGGAGCAGCGCTGCGGGGTCCCTAAGCACCGACCACCCGGGACGCAGGCGAGCGTCCCGACGTGCTGTGTTCTTACGTGCGAGGCCCGGGGTTTGGGTCCCCTTCTTCTCCCTGTGCTGTTCGGTTTCCAGAGTTCTGCATCGATCACGTGTTGCTTTAGGGTTAGGGTGAAATTGCCGCCGCTACACCAGGTAGGCCGCCAGCTCCTCTCGGCTGCCCTAACGAGCAGGTGGCACCGGACAGCATTTTCCGCTTAGATTCTAGTAAAAAAGGAAGTTTCACATTTCTCTCTAGGGAGCCAGCAGGTGTCAGCTCGAGTCCCCCCCCCCCCCACCTGCTCCGCACTTAGGGAAACCCGCGGTGCACGTGGGGCGGGCGGGCGCGCGGTCACCCATTGGCCCCTGGACCTTGACCGGTTGCTAGGAGCCGCGTCGTCATGGCGACGGGGCACGCTAACGCGCTGCGCTGTGTCCGGAGGCCGGCTCCCTTGCAGGCCGCACGATGGCGCAGAACCTGTACAGCCCGCGGGTCCGGATCGGCAACTGGAACGAGGACATCTACCTGGAGGAGGTGCGCGGGGCCCCCACCCTGCCCTGCCCCAGCCTCCCCTCTCCCCCTACGCGGGTGCCCCTCCCCCGAGCGCCCGGGAGTGTCGCCTGCTGTCCCGCAAACGCGGGGCTCACGGCCCTGCGCTCGGAGACTCCCCTTTCCGTGGGTCCCTCCGCGCCCCAGCGCGGTGCCTTGGCCCCCAGGCCCGGCCGGGCCTCCCCCCGGCCCAGAGCCCCGCCAGGCTCGCCCTGTCTGTCGCTGAGTCTCACCGTCCCCAGCGGCCGCCCTGGTCCTTCCACTGACGTCGCTCCCTGCCTCGCAGTCCCGGGTCCTACCAGGCGGGGGTCCCGCACGGCCAGTGGGGGGGGGGGGCGGACTTTCCCAGATGGATCATCCCTCATCAGACACCCAAGGGAAAGCTCAGCCGGGGAGGCCTCCAGATGCTGCCTGTAGCTGGAGTAATGTTTATTTCAGGTGATGTTTCTTTTCTTTTTTTTTCTTTTTTTTTTTTGGTGCGTTTTTCATTTTTCTACACCTTCTACAATGAAAGAAAAACATTAAAGTCATGCTAAAACCGTTTCCGCCATTCCCATCGTGATGCTCACATTTCTTTTCTTATGCTCAAATTTTGATTTTTCAACTTGAGGAGTTTCTGACCCCAAACTCTCAGTAATCTGTGTTCTTCAGGGCTGTGTTGAGGTTTAGGGTTCCACGTGTTTTTGTCTTCAACCAGGAGCGCCTGAAAGACTTCTTAAAGAAGCGGGATGAGGGGGGACTTCTCATACAGAGAAGCAGAAGACTGAAAAAGAACCTTCTGAGACCGGTAACTTCACGCTCAAACATTGTTTCCAAAATTCTGTCCAATTGAGTGTGAGTATGTGATAAGCAAGGAAAAAATCTCATAAACGAGCTGCCATTTGGAAAATGACGGTTGTTTTTTTAAAATCTGAAAGCCACGGTGTTTTAAATTCCTTAAGACTTTAGAAACATGAGGCAGCTCTGCTCTTAATTCTGTCTACTTGCATTTTCCACATAAAGAAACGAATGAATGAATCCACGAATAAGTGAGAGGCCCCTTGGTTGGTGCTCAGGAAATCTTCGGTGAATGTTGGATGGGTTAACAATGGAGTCGACTCCCGTAACTCCGGCTTCATTTGATTTCCTGTGGGGTTGTTGGAGGCTTTGCCTGGCGAGGCAAAAGGGAGAGGAAGAATGAATTAGGATTTGGGGGAATCCAAGCGCGATCCTCACCTAAAGGGGGCCTAGTCTGAGCGGGAAGGAAGGTACGGCTGGGAGCGGCCTCGGCACTTGCTGCTGTGGGATCGTGTGGTTCGTGTAACGAACTCCCGTTAAAATTGCAGATGCAGCTTTCTGTGTCCAAAGACGGATACGTCCATTACGGTGACAAAGTGATGCTTGTGAACCCCGACTATGCCGAGACAGAAGCTGACCTGTTCCTGGCCGGGGACCTGGCCCTGAGCATGACTCCAGATGAGATTCAAGCCCACCTGAGTGACGCATTAGAGGTGCCCTGTGGCCTGAGTGCGGTTCAAACCAAGGTCCCGGTCGGCAGAAACACTTTTATCGTTTTGAGGTAGAGAGACTTTAATTTTCAGCTCATTTTCATCATAAATACCTATTTTCACTCGCAGTGTGAGGAGGCGCTGGGACTGAGCGGCCGACCGGAGGCAGAGGTCCTCTGCACGTTTTCCGACCCTCATCCTGCAGGCTTCCCCTGAGAATCACCGTCCAGGGGCTTCGCAGGCCCCTTTCTACCTTAGACAGCGGATAATTGGTAGTTTGCATTCAATTCAAAATGTTTAATTCCTAAGTATTGGATCTGGGGAATGAAAGTCATATTCTGCTTGGAAGCAAAGTGGGTTCTCCCAGTAACATTTCAGGATGCTTTGAGCTCATTTGAGTGCTCTCATTTTCTTAATGTTGCCATGTTATTTTTACAACAAAAATATGTAGTTTAACACAAGGTGGCACTAGATGGGATTTTCTATTTTAAAATTAACTGTTCATTAAAAATGTACTTGAAGGCCAGGTACCTTAGCTCACGCCTGTAATCCCAGCACTTTGGGAGGGCAAGGTGGGCGGATAGCTTGAGGCCAGGAGTTTGAGGCCAGCCTGAGCAACATAGACCCTCCCAACTCAAAGAAATGCACTTGAGGAGATTTTGAAAATAAGCAGTTAAATGCTTCGAGAATGAACAGAGATACAATGACAATTAAAAACTATTGCTAATTCATGATAGTCATGTTCATATTACAAGAATATAGCTGCTCTTTTAAGTTCTTAACTTAGATTTCTTTTGAATACAGGTAATTTGTATTAAGACAACTAAAAATTAACCATAACTTCTGTTTCCTAAAGGACTAAGAGAGAAGATTGTATTAAATGCCTACAATTGTGTTAACCTTGGTTCTCTCTGAAGATGTCAAAGCACTTGACCGGAATTTCTTAGTACATATGAGCATGATGTGTTTAGTCCACGCTAGCCAAAGATCCACAGAGTGGGGTGCAAGGCAGGGATTATGGTGCCAGCCAGATTTTAAGGCCAAAAGGAAAGACCCTTTATTTAGTTATTTAATTCAGTTGTGGTATATAAATACACATTATCAAGAAAGTTGATTATAATCAAAATTGCATACACAAAACATAGAGCTACAGGATGATTTTAACTCAGAGAGTTTACATTGCATTTATTCTCCACTGACAGCACAGACAGAGATGCTGCTGGTCAAGTCCTTAGGTACGGGCAGGACTTTTGCCTCGGGATAACGGGAGGATTTGAAAACAAAATGGTGAGTCATCCCTTTGCATGTCTGCTTTGTAATCGGCCTTTTTTGTTTCCAAAAATAGGCTAATAACTATGCACTGAAGTGGACAGAGAACTCTTGCAGATATGGTTTCAGCTTGCACCTTTCACAGGAAATTTTGGCCCAAATCTTTCCTTCTAACTTCACAAAGCACAAAAAATACACCCTTAAAAGCTAAAGAGTAAGGGAAGAAAGCTTTTGCTACACAGCTGGCAAAAGGCAAAAGTGATTGGATTAATCCATGACCATCTGCCACCTGTCAAATGTTACCTATGCTAGCAGGGTGGATTATCTGACAATTTTTACATTTAAATTTTTGATTATCAAACTTTTGCCTAATATAGGAGAAGAACAATATGAGATGCTTAAGTTTGCTTCAGTCTGGGAGCCTTGGGATTTCAAAAGTATTAATATCATAGTCTACGGCCATACCACCCAGAACACGCCTGATTTCTTCTGATCTCGGAAGCTAAGTGGAGTGGGGCCTGGTTAGTACTTGGATGAGAGAGAGGTTTTTTTTTTGTTTTTGAGACAGCGTCTTGCTCTGTCACCCAGGCTAGAGTGCAGTGGTGTCATCATAGCTCACAGCAACCTCAAACTCCTGGGCTCAAGTGATCCTCCTGCCTCAGCCTCCCGAGTAGCTGGGACTACAGGCACCCGCCACTATGCCCGGATAATTTTTTCTATTTTTTTTTATTTGTTCGGTTAACTTCTTTCTATTTTTAGTAGAGTTGGGGTCTTATTCTTGCTCAGGCTGGTCTCAAACTCGTGAGCTCCAGCGATCCTCCTGCCTCGACCTCCCAGAGTGCTGGGATTACAAGAGCGAGCCACCGCGCCCGCTTCCTGTCTTTGAGTTAGCAAGCTCTTCCAGGGTATTCATAAAAAAATCTGGTGAAAGCAGCGTTCCGGGCTGGTTTCTGATTTTATCGTTGTTTTCCTTTACATGAACAAAGCAGCTTGTGGTTTGAGACGAATGTGCTTTGCCACTTCAAGCCGTGGCTTTCCTGCTGCTCTCAAAGGCACTGTGGCTCTCCCGTCTGCTAGGGCAAAGGTGCGACGTGCCATGGCCCATCCCCCTTTCCCACCCAGTGTCCGGCTCGTTACCAGGTCCCCTCTCTGTCCCTCACTGCTGCTCTCCCTTCGTAATGCACCTCGCTGCCTCCTCCCCACACGGCTCCGCAGTCCGGGCCCCCAGGCTTGGCCCTTTCGTCTGTCCCGACATCAGACCACACTAGGTGGCGCGCTGCCAGATGGGTCTTTTGGAAGCTCATTTCTGGTCACGTCCCATCCTCACCAAAGTCAGCAGTGGGTCCCCACTGCCGCTGCATGAAGTTCCGGCTGTTCGCCGTGGCACTCAAGGCCTCTGCAACATGCGGTGGAGGGGACCCCGCCCTGCCTGTGCTCACCCCTCCGGCTCCCTGGCACCCTGCCTCCCTCCCTGAGCGTCCAGGAGAGCGCTCTGTGCCTCCCTCTGCCGTCCTGCTGCTCACGGCGGCTCTGCCCGACAGCCTCGCCTTACGGGTGCGCACAGGTGCCTCCTTGTTGTAAGCTCTGTCACCGCTTCTGCTAGGTGGGGACCGCTTGGGGACGGTAACTCATTTCTGCCTTCCCCGCAGCGGCTCACGCGCAGCGTTGCGCGTGAAAGGTGCTTACTGAAAAGCCGTCAAAGCTTGCAGACGCCACCCGCACACCCAGGGCCAGGGAGAACCAGCAAAGAGCTGACGTCCTGGACCTTTCGGCCGGATGGGGCAGTTTTGGCAAGGTCATGGGCAGCCCAGCAGCTGACATAAATCCCCAGCGTGGCACCCATTTCAGAGAAGCGTGGTCCCCCTGGAGGCTCACCCATGAATATCAGCTGTGGTGACGTCACTCGGAACATCATCATGCGATTTCATTTCATATGAGTTTCATGCAACATCACGTAAAAGAAATGAAATATCGATCCAAGTCCTTTGCCCCGAAAAAGAGGAAGAGGGGAGCGGGGGATGGGCTGGGAAGGAGAGAGAAGGACTGCGTTTGGCATTCAGAGGGCGGAGAAGTAGTTTGAGGTGCGCACGTGTGCGCTCTTGTGTGCGTGTGTGTTGGTCTCGGCGTTCTGAGATGGCATTTCTAAGGCAGAGGGAAATCGAGCTTTCTCAGACAATCAGCAAGAACAGGGTTTTGAAAACTGCTTTTGAGCTTGCCGTCCAGCCAGCCGCTCGCTGATCTCCCACCGTGTGGCGCGGCTCTGACCTGCTCCATCTGCTGCTGTCATTCCCAGCTGTACTTATCCAGCGACCACAGGAGCCTTCTGAAGTCGTCCAGGAGGTCTTGGCTGCAGGAGGCGTACCTGACGGACGAGGTCTCCTACAGGAGCTGCTGGCAGGCCGCCTTGCCCGACCCGCAGCTCCGCCTGGAGCACGAAGGCTTCCCGGTCCCGGTGAGCGCAGCGCCGGGGTGGGGGTGGTGGTGGATGCTACCAGTCCGCGGTTTACTCCCCCCGGAGCGGGGAGGCACTAACTTGCTCTGTGGCCGTCCTGCAGCAGAGTCTCAACCCGCCTGCTCACTAGGGTCGCCCGGGCCCTGCCCCTGGGAACCGCTGATGCGAGATCAGAAGGATTGTGACACCACTTCCTTGACCCTGTTTTCTTTCAGGTTTCTGTTAAATACTCATTTTTAAACAAATCGATTCCAGGTGCAGTAGGTCAGGCCTGTAATCCCAGCGCTCTGGAGGCCGAGGCGGGAGGATCACTTGAGGTCAGGAGTTCGAGACCAGCCTGAGCAAGAGCAAGACCCCTTATCTACTAAAAATAGAAAAATTAGCCGGGTGTTGTGGCACTTGTAGTCCCAGCTTCTCAGGGGGAGGCTGAGGCAGGAGGATCGCTTGAGCCCAGGAGTCTGAGGTTGCTGTGAGCTAGGCTGACGCCATGGCACTCGCCTGGGGAACAGAGCGAGACTCTGTCTCAAAATAATAAATAAATAAATCAATAAATAAATGAAAGAGAGAAATCGGGAAGTCTTGGGGAGAAACCACGGCCACGGCAGGACAGCCACACAGGCGAGCGCGGTGGTCCACGGGGCAGTGTCACCCTCCTTGTCACTGCGGGACATTTTCTCAGGACCAGGCGCTGTGGGACTGGAGTCTGAGGCGCAGTCCTGACGGGGTGGCAGAGGGTCCGGTGGGCGCAGAGCGGGCCCCTGTTTGGAGGGGCAGAGTCTGTCCTACTAAGCGAGGGCGAGGACGTGTTCGGAGTCAGGGCAAGAGTGCGGCGCTAGCAGGGGGGTTTGCAGGGCTGGCCTACTGGGGCGGCCGTCTGTGGCCCTGCTCACCGTCCCGGGAGTGGCCACAGTCACAGCCCACTCTGAATCCGCCGACACAGCATGCCTGACCCTCCAGCTCTGCCCGGGGACCCCAGCTTCACGAAGTTTGTTCTCTGAGCACGGAGGACGCATACATGATCCACGGTGGAACGGGCTTGGCACGCCTTTCTCTTGAGCCGTCCTTTGGCAAGCTTCTGTCTCCTGGGAATTCCCTTCTGTTGCCACGATTTATAATGCCAATGCCTCAGTTTCCTCATCTGTAAATTGGGGATGGTGATAATCCCCACCTTAGGAGGCTTCGTGGAGACTAAGCGCCTACCCATTTAGAGTGCTCATTAGAAAGCGCCCGGCTCACGGAAGCCACTCACAGTGCCGGCTGTTGCCACGACTGTCGCTGTGGTTACGCCGCTGCTGTTTTCCCGAGACTTGATACATGAGCAGTGTCCCACGCAGTGGCCCAGGCACCCAGACCTCTTTCGCCTGTTGCTAACTCTCCTTATGTCCTGAGGCAGGTCTCCGAGCCTCATTCAGACAGGGTTCCACATATGCAAAGCGGGGACCTCCTCCCTTTCTGAGCGACCTTGCTCGGCCAGTGCCCTGCAGGCGGAGACCACCGGGGGCTCCTGCAGTTGAGGAGGAGCTGGCTGTACTGGCTGCACTGAGGGGAGCTGTGCAGGGAAGCTGGGGGCGGCCCCGCGGGTGGGTGCTAGCGAGGAGGCTTCAGAATTCCGGCCTTGGTTGGGTGGTTTCGGGGACAGTCCCAGGAAGGGGGGCTTTGCTCTGGAGGAAGCAGGGGTAATTCTATCATCAGACATCTCGACAGGTCCCATCTCCAGGGAGGGCAGACAAGAGCAAGGACAAAGCCGTCACTGGTAAAGAAGCAGGTCCTGCATGACTTTGAGGTTTTTCAATAGAAAAACTCTCCGTGCAATTAATATGTTAAGCAGCTTTTCTTTTAAATCTAGTTCAGATTGTCGTGGCTCTTATTGAAATTGTACATGATGATTAAAGCCTTTCCCTTATTCTCAAAAAAAACAAACAAGGAAGCAGCAGCTGCCGTCACTCACAGCAGCCCGGAGACGGGGACGTTTGGTATTTTGAGAGCCGGGCAATGCTGCGTTCTGTCCGTGTTCAGATATGATTGCAGAGTGGACTTGCTTTTCCCTTGACCCATCGAGGTCACAGACTGGCCTTGCCTGACGCAGACATTCTGTGAAATGGACTCTGCTCCCAGGGGACCTTGCTGGGGCAGAGCTGTGAGCGCCGGGCCGACCCCTGCGTGGCAGGACCGCTTTTTCTTTCTCACACGGCTTTTATGACAGCTTACGCGAGTCAGGAATTTGAAATATCTTTAACATTTTTTTAGAGATAGGGTCTTGCTCTGTCTACTTAGGCTGGAGTGCAGTGGCACAACCATAGCTCAGCGTAGCCTCAGCCTCGAACTCCTGGGCTCAAGTGATCCTCCTGCCTCAGCCTCCCAAGTAGCTGGGACTGTAGGCACAAGCCATTACACCCGACTAATTAAAACAATTTTTTTCTGTAGAGATGGGGTCTCACTATGTTGCCCAGGCTGGTCTGGAACTCCTGGCCTCAAGTGATCCCCCCACCTCGGCCTCCTAAAGTGCTGGGATTACGGACATGAGCCACTATGCCAGGCTCCAGGATTTTGAAACAATATATATATATTTTCTGATTATAATATATATTTACTTATGAAAAGTAAGGAAAGCACAAAAATAATAAGAAAATTACCAGTAGTTTCACTTCCAGAGAAAGCCATTGCTGTTTATCATTTCTTTCTCTATGCGAATATATATATATATTTTTTATAGGATAGGACATCATTAAGACATTTATTTTTTTTCATTTAATAATACCATTGACTGTATCTCTTGTTATCAAAGATCTTCTCCAACATGACTTTGAACAATTGTTTCATCACAGAGATATCTACAATAATGTATTTAATCAATCCGTGTGGTTTGACTTCTAAATTATTCCCTGTGTGTGAGTGTGTGTGTGTATTTACATGTGTGTATAGTCACAAGTCACTTAACAATGTGGATACGTTCTGAGAAATGGGCCATTAGTGATTTTGTCCTCGTGTAAACATCACAGAGTGACTTACATAAACCCAGACGGTGTAGCCTACTACGCACCTCGGCTGTATGGTGTAGCCTGTTGCTCCAAGGCTACAAGCCTGGACAGCATGTGACTGTTCTGGGCATTGTAGGCAGCTGTACCACGATGGTATTTGCGTATCTGAACATAGAAAAGGTGCAGTAAAAATACAGTGTTATAATCTTATGCTCATACACGCAGTTCTTTGTTGCCCGGACCGCTGTTGTATCATACATGACCATGAATATATATGTTTATATATATATTCTTTTTACTAAATTGAAATAAATATATAGTATACTTCCAAATTTTTGCCTTTAGGAAATTGGAGGCCTCAAGCCGGAATGCTAACGACGCATTTTCTTTATTTGCAAAGGCCAACGCCCGAGTCCTCATCAATCACCGCCACACGAACCGCGGCCTGGCAGCCCACCGGCACCTCCCGCTCAGGTACCGCACGGAGGGCGCAGCGAAGGGCCGCGGACGGGGCTGGGGCCACGCGCACAGCAAGGGAGCTCGGTTTAAAGTGTGTGGCTGCACGCAGAACGCCCTTCGCTGACGAAACATTGTCGCGTGGGACTGGGACGCCGCGGAAATCCCGCCAGAGCCCCCTTCCTTGGCACAGTCCTCCCTCCCCGCGGGGGCTGCTGGCGCCAGCGGGATCCCGCCTGCCCGAGCCTTGCCCAAACGGGCCGCGGCCGTCCCAGAAACACGTCCCACTTTAGCCAGCGAGGTGCTGAGGCGTCGTTGGGCTATGCCGAGGCCGCCAGGCCCCCGCAGCAGCCTGCCTCCCCGGCGCATCCGTGAAGAACCGACGGCTGCCTGAGGGCGGTTCGGTTCCAGCCAGCGCCCGCTCTCTCCGCTGCAGCACCTACTTTGGGAAGGAAGCAGAGGTCGTGGCGCACACGTACCTGGATTCGCACCGCGTCGAAAAGCCAAAGAACCACTGGATGCTGGTTACCCGGAACCCCAGGAACGACTCGCCCACCATGCTGGACCTGCGCGGACCGCCGGCCGAGGACACCCGGGCCGTGGAGCAGGCCATGGGCCTGAACACGCAGTGACACGCCAGCACATGTGTGTCCTCTCGGGCCCTGCTCTCCTCAAATGTAGCTTTGAAAGAGCTTTAACCCTGGTCACGCCGTGCGCTACTTTGAAGTAAGGTGTGGACTCGCCGAGAGCTGTGTTAGAACAAAGCGTGCCTTAAGATAACCGAATTTGTGGTGGGAGTCTAGGGCCAGACTCCCTAGGTCTGGGCAATAAATAGCATTTGAAATGACAAACAGTGGCCCTTTGTCGATAGCCACATTCTGAGGAGCTCAGCCTCCTCCACTGAGACCCTTCATAGTAGCAGCTTCTGCGAGGCTGTGTGTTACTTTTCAGAGTTCAGTGTTCAAAGACATTATGTAAAGCCATTACATAATGTCTGTGTCACAAAGCTATCAGAGCTAAACCGAACTCAGTCTCTCCCTTAGCTCTGTGCAATGTGCTGAAACATCGACACTGTGGAGCTGTGAGCTGCGGCCTTACTTGGATTTAAAGATCCCGTCCCCTCTTGGAAACCATCCTGCTTTTGTTTCTGCCTCTGACTGAGGAAGTTGGGACCTCTGCCTGACATTAGTCGTGGCACCCCTGTGGTTGGAAAGTTCCAGACAAAATAAATACATATCCTTCCACTTACTTGCTCATGTATTTGTTCTTCACTGAGTTCCTGGGATGCTCTACACGACGCGGCTGCAGCCAGTGCGGGTCGACGCTCGTCCAGGGGGCAGGCATTCTCCATCAGGCACTGCAGGGTCTGGGTGGTTCCACACGTGGCCGTGCGCTGGGTTCACCCTGGGAACCGTAACAATTGCCGACGCCTGGGCCCCAGCCCGGAAGTTCTGATTTACGGGTCTGGGGTGTGGCCTGGGCATCGGGCCTTGTCAATGTCCTTTGGACGGTTCCCACGTGCGGGCACGGTGGAGACTCGCTGCCTTAGGAGGTGCAGGAGGAAACGGGGGTTCCTTAGGGTGGTCAGAAAAGGCTCAGCCTGGCTGCGCATTAGAACCGCCGGAAGAACGTGGACAGAGCCCAGTGCCCGGGCTGCACTGGGGCCGTGCCACCAGAATGCCTGGGGTGGGACTTAAGGAAAACGCAGATGCTTGCCCCGCCCCAGAGGGTCTTGTTTGATTGGTTGGGAGTGGAGACCAGGTATTGTTGTTTTTTAAAACCTGCCAGTTTGTTTTCACGAGCAGCCTAGGTTGAGAACCCCTGGCTTGGCTGAGAGCAGAGCTGGGTTTGCCTGCGTGACTCCGACGGGCAAAACCAGGACCCAGAGGCAGGCGGGTTGGGCTCCATCTGGGGAAAGACATTTTTGACGGTCTGAACTGTCTGCAATTCCGGTGCGTTCTTGCTCCCACCACGAGGTGTTCCCGGAAAGCCTTCCGACGACAGCGGGAGTCGTGTTCTTCCTTGAACAACCCTCCAGTGGTTTCTTGACCGAAGCACTGAGGGGCTTCAATGCCACCAGGAATCTGCACCCCGGACCAAGTGTGCACGCGCGTGGTCAGTGACGGCCACCTGGCCGACGGCGGTCGTGAAGCGCGTCGTTTTAATGTACACGCTGAATTCAGGGAGGTTAAGATGCGGAAAACAAAACCTGTGCGTCTCACAACAGACGAAGCACACTCAGTGACTGGAGAGCGAGCGTCTGACCTGAGAGGGCTCTCGCGCCGCCATGTGTCGTCTACGCGCCAGCGCCGCTGCCGCGGGGCTGGGGAGCACCTCGCAAAGCCATCGAGGGCTTTTGTGGTCGCTTCCTTATTCCATTCTCAGCACGCTCTGGCGTTGGATTGTTCATTGCTGTGGCCCCCTTTCCTGAGAGACAGCTGTCGACCGGATGAATGAATCAACAAACAAACGAGTCCATAGCTTTTACGGAGGGGGAGCCGGGCTCGCTCACCTTTACAGGTGGGTGAGGAAATGGTCCCAGGTAGGGGGAGGGACACGCCTAAGGCCATCGGGAAGACGGAGGCGGGGTCCCAGGAGAACCCCACCCACGGATGTCAACGGCTGCTCAGGAGCCGGGGCTGAGGAACCTCGAAGTTGCCCAGGTACCCTGGAAAGTGGAGCTGGGTCAAGGTCCACGCGGGTTTTGACATCTGGAAGGAGACCAGGTTTCCGCCCTGCTGGCTTGGCCTTGTAGTTTTCCAAGTGGCCACAAGGTGTCAGTGCGAACAGTGCTGACCAGCCGACACTGGTCACTGCTCAACTGTTGAGCTTAATTCCAAAACATGAGGGCATTTCTAGTTTCCAAAACGTACATTTTAAGAGAGGAAAAACCGTAAAACCTCCATGGCCAGGGTATCAGTTAATTTTTTTTTTTTTTTGGCTTCATTAAAAAACCGGTGTATTAGGCACGTGTAAACCCCGCTTAGAACAGCATTCCGAGGGTTGCGCCAGGGAAGTTCAGGCTAGAACACAGCCCCTGCGGGACTCTTCGCAGACGTTCCGTCTGGAGCCTGGAGTCCCCCCAGGAAATTGTGCCCTGAGCCCAGGTCCGGGGTTCTGTGTGCGGCGCGATCTCCACGCGCTTCTGCCGCCCGCCTGCCTGGACGCCGCCTTTGCAGCAGGCCTGTGTCCTCTGCCGGGCACCAGCTTCCTCTCAGGTCGTTAGAAGATTCAGTGAAACAAGACCATGCACTGGGGGAGGCAGGAGGAGACGATGATTCTGAGCTCTGGCTCTGGGGGCGGACAACTCCGCGTGGACCTGGTCACTTCCTGCCGTGTGGCCCGTGGAGGACGTCGCACCTCTTCGCGACTCCATGTACTCACAGGTTAAAACTTAATCTCCGTGTCCCCCACGTTCAGCCCGGTGCGTGGCCCGTGCTACTCAACGTCACTTCTTCCTTCCTCTGATCTCACAGGCAAGTGAAAGCTCGGGGTGGGGTGGCTCAGTGAGCAGCGTCGCGCGTGAGCAGGTACTTCCCTGTCAACAGCACCGGCCGCTCTGGACTCCAGGCCTGCATTTGGTTCTCTGGCTGCCATGCTTGATGGTAATGCTCCCCAAGGGCGGGAAAACGTGTCCCAAGCTGTGTCCCCCGTGTTAGGACGTCGTCATTATCATGGCCAACATTTATTGAGCACTTATTATGTGCCAGGTACTCTTCTAAGTACTTTTTACATGTATCCACCCATTTCATTCTCACATGTAACCTGTGAGCTATGTCATTATCTGAGTTTTACAGGCGAGGAAACCGAGCGAGTGACTCACCCCGCGTCGCGCAGCTGGCACGGGCGGGAGCCGGGCAGGCCGGACCTGGGGCCGGAGCGCTTAGCCAGGGACGCAGCCTCTCAGGCGAAACGCTTGGTGCATTTCTGTTGGATCGAATCGGATCAGTAAGATTGGGCATCTGGCACCAGTGCAGTGTGACGTGGGGACGACCCCGGGTGTGCGTTCGAGTTCTGTGCTGGGACCTGCTGCAAACGTGCCACCCCAGGGGACGGGAAAACCAGGCCTTGCAGGAAGGAGTGAATGGGTGGGAGAGAAGGAGTCGGTGGGCAGCGCCGGGCTCGGCCCCACCCAGCCTGGGGCAGCAGGGAGCAGTGGGGGGCCTGGGCCAGGACTGGGAGCGGGACACCCCCATCCCGACCACGAATCTGTGCTGGGCCCACAGTCATTGCGACGACGTGGGTGCACCTGGAGGACACCGTGCTGAGTGAAACGAGCCGGATGCAGAGACAGACAGACAGACACCGCACGATCCCACCCGCGTGCGGAATCTGAAAGCGTCCAAGTCACAGAGGCAGCGAGCAGAGCGGGGGTTCCCGGGGCTGGGGGTGGGGAAAGGGGGACGCTGGTCAAGGGGTACAAGCTGTGAGTCATACGATGAACAGGTTCTAGGGGTCTCACGTATGGCATGGGCGGTGGTGGATGCTTCAGTGAATTTGATCGTGATAATCATTACGCAATGTATATGTATGTCAAATTATCACATCGTACACCTTGAATTCATACGATCTTTATTTTTCAATGAAATATTTTAAAATAAACAAATGCATGAAAAGAAAGTGGTGCTTGCTTCCCTCGGCACCCACAGGCCACCTCGGTGCTCCTGGAAACCGGTCAGCGGCCACGTCCCTGAAGCCCGGGTGCAGGGTGCTGGGGCTCTGTCGAGGGGTGGAGGCCCACGGAGCCCTGTGCTGGGCACGATGGAGAAACATCCGGTCCCCACGGAGAGGGCGTTCGAGGCGCCCCGTGTGTGCAGGAAGGGGCCAGTCCTGCCCCTAGCCTGCCTTTTCTGGAAGAACCAGATTCCTGCCGTTGTCCAGGCCCCCCCACGAGGCCAGGCTGGCACTGGGGTTGTGGCCTCTGTCTGGGGAGCTGGGCAGGACAGGCTGACCCACCCAGGGCTCCACCCCAAATCCCGACACCACGTGTCCCATGCTCCCGCTCGCTGCATGCGAGTCACACACGAGCACCCTGCCTCTGTCCCACCCAGAGGGAGCTGGAGACAGCGTCCCCTGTGGCCGTCCCTGGCTGCTGAGCAGGTCTCCACCCTCCCTCCCTCCCTCCCTGCGTCGTCTCTGCGCTGTGTTGTTGTTGGCTGATGTGAGCAGGGTCGAACATCTGCCAAACATCTGCTCATGTCTCCTGAATGTGCTCCCAGCAGACGGGCAGGAAGCAGCACCACCCTGGAACCGCACTGCCAGGGCTCCGACGGCCACACCAGGACACCGCCCAGCCTGGTGGCGGCTGGCGGGATCCCCGGGCTGGGGTCTGGTCTCTCCCTCTGTGGGTGGGAAGGTGGCAGGAAGCCTCTCGGTTTTACGTCCTTCCCCTTCCTCTCACGGCCACCTCGGAGGAATAGTGCTATGGGCTGGGGACGTCCAACAGAAGAGAGAGGCCTGCCAGGGACGGCTGCAGACGGGAAGGGGGAGGTCAGAGTCCCCGGGAGACGAGGGGATGGACGTGGGCAGGAGACGGGGCAGTGAGTGTGCCTGTGAGCGGCTCCTCTGGGAGGAGACACGAAGCAGGGAGAGAGCAAAGTCAGTAGAAGGTGCTTCAGCGAGCTGGCGACAC